GGGATAAGTTCCAAGTTGGTTTGAACGTTAATGTAGATCCAAGCAAGGAGTAGAAATCCATTAAAATTTTACTCTTCAAGACATGTTCACAAATTGTTCCATTTATGAACAAGAGTGATCATTTTGTTATGGTGGAGGCAAGGGTCTGGAAATAGCAAGTGCTTTCGTCTCCATCAAGTGCAACTTTTATTTCTTAGCATTGCACCCAAATAATGGCCATTTACTGGACTGTGCGCTCGACAACCCTGATAATGACTTTCTAAGTGATAGTTTAGGGTTGGAGTTGAAGCATCGCTCTTCTTACGCCAACGTTGTAGGGTGGATCAATTTCATTTAAGCATGACAATCAGCGAGAGGGCTTAGTTTGGACCTATATGGTCTGAGACTTAGATTTGTAGGATAGCTGGCCATAGGATGGGCAAGAAGTCCAACCGTTACCAAATCCAAAAAGGGCGGGACAAGGGACAAGTGTGTCAACCGACAACAGAAGTGCTACATGGTCAGAGACAAAACGATTTAGCGAGGTAACCGTTGGGAAAACATGATCCCACTCTAGGTTTATGAAATCATGGCCAATTTTCTCCAGTATTAGTTGGTCATGTTTGCTCGGCCATGTAAACGTTTTGTCCAAAAGAGGAACTCAATTATGGCAAGAGATTACTTATGGTGTCGTTAAGCACGTCAGTTTCGGTTTGACGGAAGGACACATTGCTTTTGTCAAAGGGCTATCTTATAATGTTGAAATCCCCCATTATGTTCCAGTGTGAGTTTGGATGTAGACAGGTAGAAGAGATAGCTCTTCTATGAAGTTTTGCTTCGCCACATGATCTATTGGGGTGTAAAAGTTTGTGATGGTTATGGGTGACTACAAGGCGAGAGGTTGTTGTAGTTTAGGTGTAAGCCATGACTTTCTCTTAGGAAGGGGAATTGAGAAGGTGTGAAGGCCTTTACGATGCCACCAGCGGGTGGGGGGAGGTCTTGGAATGGTATAGGTAGAGATGGGAGAAGTTCCAAGTTTGTTTGAAGGTAGATCCAAGAAAGGATGAGTATAAATCCATTAGAATGTTAATATTAGAGACATGTTAGACAAATTCTTGACCATCAATATAAATGGTGGTTTTGTTATGGAGGAGACGGATTGATGCAGGGGTGTGGATATAGACAATGTTTTTGTCTTCATCAAGGGCAACTTATACTTTACCGCATTGCACCCAATAAACGACATTTACCGTTTTGCGCGCTCAAGAACCCTAATAATGACTTTCCTAAGCCATAGTTTTGGGTTGGAGTTGAAGCGCCACACTTCTTACGCTAACATTGTAGGGCAGATAGAGTTTGTTTAACGAGCACGAGGGCTTAGTTTGCACCTATCTATCTGGGCAGAGATTTAGGTTTGCAGGATAGCCAACCGTAGGATGGGCGGGGAGACCAATTGTTACCAAATAAAAAAGGAAGGGATAGGGGGAAAAGTGTGTCGTCCGACATTAGAAGTGCTACATGGTGAGACACAAAACAAGATATCAAGGAAACCGTCAGGGAAACTAAATCCTACTCCGGGTTTATGAAGCCATAATCAATTCTCTCTAGTGTTGGTTTGTCATGTTTGCTCGACCATGTAAACCTTCTGTCCAAAAGAGGAAGTTCAATTATGGCAAGAGATTATTTATGGTGTTGTTAAACACATCGGTTTTGGTTTGACGGAAGGATGCATTCTTATTATCAAAGGGCATCTCATAAATGTTTAAATCCCCCATTATGATCTAGTGCGAGTTTGCATGTGGAAAGGTAGAGGAGAGAGCTCGTTTAGGAAGTATTGCTTCAGCACATGATCTGTTGGAGCGTAAACGTTCGTGATGGTTATGGGTGACTGCGAGGTGAGGCGAGAGGTTGTGACAATTTAGGTCTAAGCCATGACTTTCTCTTAGGATGCAGAATTGAGAAGGTGCCAATGTCGTCAGGATGCCACCGGCTAGGGGAGAGGGTCTGGGAATGGTATAGGTCGAGATGTGGGAAGCTCCAAGTTGGTTTGAAGGTAGATCCCAACAAAGTGGAGTAGAAATTCGTTAGCATTTTAATCTTGGAGACATGTTCACCAAATTCTTGACCATTTATGAATACTAGTGGTGATTTTGTTATGGCTTAGGCAGATAGAGGCAGGGGTGTCGAAATAGGAAGTGTTTAATCTCCATGAAGTGCAACTTTTATTTTGTTGTGTTGCACCCAATATTGGGCATTTACTGGACTGTTCGCTCGAGAACTTGATAATGACTTTTTAGGTGATCTGTTGGAGCGTAAATGTTCGTGATAGGAAGTTTTGCTTTGCCACATGATTTGTTGGAGTGTAAATGTTCGTGATGGTTATGGGTGACCGCGAGGCTAGGCGAGAGGTTGTGACAGTTTAGGTGTAAGTCATCACTTTCTCTTAGGATGGAGAATTGAGAAGGTGCCAAGGCCGTTAGGATGCCACCAGCTTGGGGGGGGGGGTCTGGGAATGGTGTAGGTCGTGATGGGAGAAGTTCCAAGTTGGTTTGAAGGTAGATCCAAGCAAGGAAGAGTAGAAATTTGTTAGAATTTTAATGTTGGAAACATGTGAGACAAAATCTTGACCATTTGTGAATAAGAGTGGTGATTTTTTATGACGGTGACAGATTGATACGGGAGTGTGGATATAGCGAGTGTTTTAATCTCCATCAAGTGCAACTTATACTTTGTAGCATTGCACCCAGTAATGGACATTTATTAGACGGTACGCTCGAGAACCCTTGTAATGACTTTTTAGGTGATAGTTTAGGGTTGGAGTTGAAACGCCACTATTCTTACGCCAACGTTGTACGGCAAATCAAGTTCATTTAAGCGCGAAAACCAGCGAGGGGGCTTAGTTTGGACTTACCTGTGCCGAGAGTTAGGCTTGTACAATAATTGGTCATAGGAAGGGCGGGAAGACCAACCGTTTCCAAATCAAAAAAGCGCGGGAAAGGGGGCAAGTGCATCTACCAACACTAGAAGTGGTACATGGTCAGAGACAAAATGAGCTATCGAGAGGAAACTGTTGGGAAAACTTGATTCTATGCTAGGTATATCAAGCCACGGTCAGTTCTCTTTATTGTTGGTTGATCATGTTTGTTCGACCATGTAAACCTTCTGTCCAAAAGAGGAAGTTCAATCACGGCAAGATCATTTTCTGTGTTGCTAAACATGCCAGTTTCAGTTTGGCGAGAGAGACATTGTTCTCGGGAGGGCTCTCATAAGGTTGGGAAAAAAAAGATCTTCTATGATGATCCACCGTGAGTTTGAATGGGGAGAGACACAGGTCACCTAAGAAGTTTTACTGAACCGTGTGATGTGTTATCGGATGTCCCCGAAGGGACAACCGTGTGATGTGTTGGAGCGTAAACGTTCACGATGGTTGTGTGCAATTGCGAGGCGAGGCAAGAGGGCATGACAGTTTGGGTGTGGGTAGGATCCGACGTGATTTTGTGGGGTTTTCGGTGCTGGCCTGATACCTGGACATTTAAACAGCAGAAAAGGAAACTTCGAGAGAGGAACCAACCCCGAGAGCACCACAATTATGCAGTAGAGGGAAACGGACGCCGTATTGATATAGCTAATTAAAGACCCGATCACAGTAGAGGATACTCAGTTAGAGGATACTCTGTTGACCAGCGAAAGCGGAGGAGAAAGGTACGGCGACGATCGACGATTCCTAGGTAGAGCCACTGCAATTGGCCAAAGCACACCGCGTGCGCAGTGGACCTCGGCGTGCCCTCGTGTGGCTCCGGGATCAGCGCCGCCCCGACCATGGGGCAGTTGCAGAGCGCCAGGCACCTCGGAGATGCCCATGGACTCCCACGATCGAGGTAGATACTCGAGTACACTCAACGGTGACAAGTAGTACAAGGATTATTCCGGGCAAATCAAGAAGAGACCATAGGCATCTGAATTCTGAAACTTCTCAATTCAAGGCAGGCATCTTACAGGTTATTGATCAACTGCTACTGCTGATTACAACGAATCGAAAGCGAAACGTAATGCATGCTGGCGAAGGAAAAGGAAAAATGGAGTATGCATGGTGGCCTACGAAAAGCTAAATGTATGTATGCATGGTGTCCTGCATGGCCGCCTGTGTCCTGCCTAGCTAGTTGGGGTGCCCTGTGGTGGAGGGGCTGGAGCCGGGCTGCTGCTGGAAGGCAGCGCCGGGCGGCGGGGTCTGGGCGCCCGGGAGGTCGTCCAGGTCGAGCTCCTTCTGCTTGAGCATGAGCAGCATGCGCCGGCCGTCGACGCGCAGGCACTCGATCCGCAGCCGCTCATGCTCCATGTCCCAGTCCTTGGTGGCCTTGAACTGCTCCCACTTGTAGCGGCGCTTCCCCAGCGCGAAGTCCTGGACCTCGTACGCCAGCTCCTGCTTCTCCAGCTCCAGCGCGCGTCGTTGCACCCACTGCCGCAGCTGCTGCTGGTCGCCGCCGGCCTCCACCGCGGCCAGCTCGCGCTTCAGCTGCTGCATTGTGCTGCGGGCGGGCTTGTTGTTCCCGTTCTCTTCCTTGTCTTCCCCGGCCGCGGCCGCGCTGCTCTCGCCACGACGGAGCTTGTTCTTGTGCCCGCCGTAGTTGTGGAAGCCATTGCTGTCGTCGACGCGGTCGTCGCGGCGCTTGGTGCCCGGCGCCTTCTCCTCCACGTCGTCCAGGTCGTAGTCGTCGTCGTCCTCCTCCTCCTCTTCAACCTCTTTGCTACTGAGGACGTCGTCCTCGCTGTCGTCCTCCGAGCGCGTGGAGGAATTCACCACCTGGCGGCCGGCGGGCGCCGTTGCCGGCCGCGGGTTGTCGAAGCAGTCGGCGCCGCCTTCGGTGCCGTGCGAGGCTGTTGCGGTGCCGCCGGGGTTGTGGTAGTGGCACATCTCGCGGAAGAAGAGGCGCTTGGACCTGAGCAGCTTGCGCGCCTCCTCCTTGGCCTTGGCCGTGAGCTCGCCCATGGTGTCGAGCAGCGCGGGGTTCGCGACCACGTTGCACGCCGTGCCGCGGCCGAGCAGTTCGACGACTCGCTTGTAGCGCTTGTTGAGGTCGTTGAACTTGTCCTCGCATTGCTGCGGCGACACCTTGAAGCCTCTCTCCACCATCGCCCGGGACACGGACCTCCACTTACCCTTCCTCTGCTGCGCCGCCGCAGATGCCACCGCCTTCCCGTGCGAATGGGCCGCCGCCGCCTTGCCTCCTGCAGACACGCCCTCCCCGTCTTCCCCGGCGTTGTACACCACCGCGATGAGCAGACGCACCATCGCATCCGTCCACTTCATCCGGGACCACGAGCACCCCGCCGTCCCCGCCCCCGGCTGCTGCACGGCGCCGACGCCGTTGCCCATCTCCTCCTCTTCATGCGCGTTGACCGCCCTCGATGGCGGCGCCACGTAAGCCGCGTACGACGGTGGCGGGTGCTGCTGCCTCATCGGCATGGCCTGGTGGTGCTGGACCTGGAAGCCGCCGTTGGCGTGGCGGAGGTGCTCCGGCGGCTGCTGGAACGAGGAGGCCGCGTGGATCTGCGGCTGCGGCTGGTGGACGAGATGCATCTCCATGCCCAGCATCGCCCCCGCAGACCCACGCGCACCCAACCCCGCTCCTCCGTCAACCCTCTCCATCGGCAAAGCCTGACCACGGTCTCTGGTTGTCATCTCTTTTTTTTCTCTGGGAGGCTCTTGTGGTCAACTCTACGTTTTGCGCTGGCCAAGTGTAGAGGAGCGGCGAATAAAAAGGAGGAGCGGGGGCAGGGGGCTGCCACCGGTATCGCCGCCGAACAGGAGCGACCGCCTCCCCTAGAGGGAGCGGGGAGCCCACGGACGCGCTGAAAACCACCTAGGATTCTTTGCGCCCGGTGTCTGCCTCTGTGGCATAGCTTGTAACCGAGCGCGTGCGCAGAAGATCCCTGGAGAGTCGTGAATCGGCTGCTGCCCGCTCCTCGACTTTATTATTGAATGTAATTTCACATCATATATATATATATATATAAAAAAATGTTTGTATTTTTTATAAGCTTGGTCAAACTTTAGAAAGTTTGAGTTCAGTCAACTCTAATATGCGAAGTAAATAACATTGTACTTACATTGTACTTGTGAGAAAATTTTCATAAAAATAAAATCCCCCTTTGACTTCTTTTCAACAAAGACAAAATTTTGGCCAAAATAGTGTGAATAGTGATTTATAATAGCAAATAAATTTTTGAATATCATTTTCGCTGTGAAGTCAATGGTTTTTTTCGTGGAAATTTATATGCTAGTGCAAAAGTAAGTCAAGTTTTTTTCTAAAAGAACTTCTGAACTATTTTGACATTTTTTAATTATTAAAAAATCCACATATAGGGTGTATATACAACCAGGAACCAAAGTATATTTCCCGCTCGGTTTACCTCTTTCATCCTAATGGGGCAGCCTCAACTGCTTGCTCCGACCATTGTCCACTTCTTCTGATGTACACTACTACGCCCCAATAGAAAGCCTCCTTTCGGTTCAAATCTTTCTGGACGAAGTTCCCTCACTTCCAGCAGACACTGGCTAGAGTGTGGCAAAGGCCAGTAAACCATGATTGCCCATTCATCAGGATCAAAATCAAGCTGAAAGAATGGCCGCTGATCTAAAAACCTGGAGTAAAACATTGTTCACCAACACCAAGGTACAGTTCCACTTGGCATCAGAGGTTGTGCTTCACTTGGATGTTGCATAGGAGAAAAGACAGCTCACATAGAGAGAATTCTGGCTAAGAAAACCCTCAAGCTAAAGATTGTTAGGCTGGCAGCTCTAGAACGCATCAAAAAATGGCAAGCCGTAAGGACAACCTTGCTGAAGGCCGGCGACGCAAAGACTGCATTTTTCCGGGGCAAAGTGAACTTGAGGCACCGAAAGAACTTCATTCACTTCATCCATCATGATGGCGTACATGCAACAAATCACAAGGACAAGGCCGCAGTCGGCTACAAGCAGTTCTCCAAGCTGATGGGTCAGAAGAAGAGTAGGGCATGTTCGATCAAGTGGGTAGAAATCGGGTTGCCAAATCTGCAAAATGGAGGCCTGGACAACCCTTTCACGGTGATAGTTCGGCTATCCGGACACCCCCTAGTCCAGGACTCCCTCAGTAGCCCCCGAACTAGGCTTCAATGACGACGAGTCCGGCGCGCATATTGTCTTCGGCATTGCAAGGCGGGTTCTCCTCCAAATTCCATGTGCTTGCCGAATGGTGTCTGGCTTCTTATAAATGTTGCGTTTCTTGGCTTCCACGTCCAATAATGGCCATCCTCCACGTGTCGTATGAATGCGAAAAGCCAGGGTATTTTTACACTTTACCCCCTAGCTGCGCGAATGAGCTGCCTATTGTTGGGAAACGTAGTAATTTCAAAAAAAAATCCTACGCACACGCAAGATCATGGTGATGCATAGCAACGAGAGGGGGAGTGTATCTTCATACCCTTGAAGATCGCTAAGCGGAAGCGTTTATCAACGCGGTTGATGTAGTCGTACGTCTTCACGATCCGACCGATCCAAGTACCGTACGCACGACACCTCCGAGTTCTGCACACGTTGAGCTCGATGACGTCCTCGCCTTCTCGGTCCAGCAAGACGGGCGAAGTAGTACATGAGTTCCGGCAGCACGACGGCGTGGTGACGGTGTTGGTGAAGAACAATCTCCGCAGGGCTTCGCCTAAGCACTACGAAAACTATGACGGAGGATAAACTAGAGGGGACGGGGTTGCCGGCACACGGCTTGGTGTTTCTTGATGTATCTTTGGTGCTATCTCTACCCCTCTATTTATATGTTGAGCCTTGGGGTCGAAACTTGGAGTAAAAACCTTCAGAAAGTCGGTTTCACCCGAAAGGCAAGAGTCCTTCTCGGACTCCAGGGCCAGACGCCAGGGTCCCTGGCGTCTCCAGACGCCAGGGACCCTGGCGTCTGGCCCCTGGACTCCGCAAAACTTCCTTTTGCGCTTTCCAAAAACCTTGTGGGCTTTCCCCTTTGGCCCAAATAACGTGTTCTCGTACCCAAACATTTTGGGAAGCATCCGGAACCCCTTCCGGTGAATTCCGGAACCCTTCCGGAGATCAAACACTATTATCCCATATATCAAACTTTATCTCCGGACCATTCCGGAGTTCCTCGTCATGTCCATGATCTCATCCGGGACTCCGAACAACATTCGGTTACCAACATGCATAACTCATATAATACTATATCGTCAACGAAACGTTAAGCGTGCGGACCCTACGGGTTCGAGAACTATGTAGACAAGACCGAGACATGTTTCCGGTCAATAACCAATAGCGGGACCTGGATGCCCATATTGGCTCCCACATATTCTACGAAGATCTTTATCGGTCAAACCGCAGAACAACATACGTTGTTCCCTTTGTCATCGGTATGTTACTTACCCGAGATTCGATCGTCGGTATCCAATACCTAGTTCAATCTCGTTACCGGCAAGTCTCTTTACTCGTTACATAATGCATCATTTCGTAATTAACTCATTAGCTACATTGCTTGCAAGGCTTATAGTGATGTGCATTACCGAGAGGGCCCAGAGATACCTCTCCGACAATCAGAGTGACAAAACCTAATCTCGAAATACGCCAACCCAACATGTACCTTTGGAGACACTTGTAGTACTCCTTTATAATCACCCAGTTACGTTGTGACGTTTGGTAGTACCCAAAGTGTTCCTCCAGTAAACGGGAGTTGCATAATCTCATAGTTACAAGAACATGTATAAGTCATGAAGAAAGCAATAGCAACATACTAAACGATCGGGTGCTAAGCTAACGGAATGGGTCATGTCAATCAGATCATTCAACTAATGATGTGATCTCGTTAATCAAATAACAACTCTCTATTCATGATTAGGAAACATAACTATCTTTGATTAACAAGCTAGTCAAGTAGAGGCATACTAGTGACACTCTGTTTGTCTATATATTCACACATGTATTATGTTTCCGGTTAATACAATTCTAGCATGAATAATAAACATTTATCATGATATAAGGAAATAAATAATAACTTTATTATTGCCTCTAGGGCATATTTCCTTCAGTCTCCCACTTGCACTAGAGTCAATAATCTAGATTACACAGTAATGATTTTAACACCCATGGAGTCTTGGTGTTGATCATGTTTTGCTCGTGGAAGAGGCTTAGTCAACGGGTCTGCAACATTCAGATCTGTATGTATCTTGCAAATCTCTATGTCTCCCACCTGGACTAGATCCCGGATGGAATTGAAGCGTCTCTTGATGTGCTTGGTTCTCTTGTGAAATCTGGATTCCTTCGCTAAGGCAATCGCTCCAGTATTGTCACAAAAGATTTTCATTGGACCCGATGCACTAGGTATGACACCTAGATCGGATATGAACTCCTTCATCCGGACTCCTTCATTGGCTGCTTCCGAAGCAGCTATGTATTCCGCTTCACACGTAGATCCCGCCACGACGCTTTTCTTTGAACTGCACCAACTGACAGCTCCACCGTTTAATGTAAACACGTATCCGGTTTGTGATTTAGAATCGTCCGGATCAGTGTCAAAGCTTGCATCAACGTAACCATTTACGATGAGGTCTTTGTCACCTCCATATACGAGAAACATATCCTTAGTCCTTTTCAGGTACTTCGGGATGTTCTTGACCGCTATCCAGTGATCCACTCCTGGATAACTTTGGTACCTCCCTGCTAAACTTATAGCAAGGCACACATCAGGTCTGGTACACAGCACTGCATACATGATAGAGCCTATGGCTGAAGCATAGGGAACATCTTTCATTTTCTCTCTATCTTCTGCAGTGGTCGGACATTGAGTCTTACTCAACTTCACACCTTGCAGTACAGGCAAGAACCCTTTCTTTGCTTGATCCATTTTGAACTTCTTCAAAACTTTGTCAAGGTATGTGCTTTGTGAAAGTCCAATTAAGCGTTTTGATCTATCTCTATAGATCTTAATGCCCAATATGTAAGCAGCTTCACCGAGGTCTTTCATTGAAAAACTTTTATTCAAGTATCTCTTTATGCTATCCAGAAATTCTATATCATTTCCAATCAACAATATGTCATCCACATATAATATTAGAAATGCTACAGAGCTCCCACTCACTTTCTTGTAAATACAGGCTTCTCCAAAAGTCTGTATAAACCCAAATGCTTTGATCACACTATCAAAGCGTTTATTCCAACTCCGAGAGGCTTGCATCAGTCCATAAATGGATCGCTGGAGCTTGCACACTTTGTTAGCTCCCTTTGGATCGATAAAACCTTCTGGTTGCATCATATACAACTCTTCCTCCAGAAACCCATTCAGGAATGCAGTTTTTACATCCATTTGCCAAATTTCATAATCATAAAATGCGGCAATTGCTAACATGATTCGGACAGACTTAAGCATCGCTACGGGTGAGAAGGTCTCATCGTAGTCAATCCCTTGAACTTGTCGAAAACCTTTTGCAACAAGTCGAGCTTTGTAGACAGTAACATTACCGTCAGCGTCAGTCTTCTTCTTGAAGATCCATTTATTCTCAATTGCTTGCCGATCATCGGGCAAGTCAACCAAAGTCCATACTTTGTTCTCATACATGGATCCCATCTCAGATTTCATGGCTTCAAGCCATTTTGCGGAATCTAGGCTCACCATCGCTTCTTCATAGTTC